CCTTACATGCTCACCCACCACCACACACACACACACACACACACACACACACACACAAACATGGGGCATCCCCAAATGAACACAGGCCGAAACTGACAGGATGCAAAACCACAGACACCTGTGCACTTCTACCCAGCCACCCAGGCATCCACCATCCACATTTAGGACAGGAAGTGAAGAAGGATCCCATGTACTATTGGAACTGCAGAGGGAATCTAAAGAGGCAGCAGGAACTGCTAATCACTCCAACTGGAATCAGGCCAGGACACCGAGGTTACGCCCATATGCTCGGGAAAAGGGCCAGGGGAGCTTCATTGACTGCAGGTGGTTAGGACAGCATCTCCAGCAGCATGCGGTGCCCTGGCACGGGGCAGGGCATTCGGTCATCTATGACTCACCAGCACCACTCTCTCTAGCATGCTTAGTAGTTCCCCATCTAAGTTCTCACGAGGCTCAACCCCGCTCCGCTAGTGAGACCAGACAAGTTTACAGCTGGAGGCAACGGGACAGCAGAATATCAGCAGCCCCTAACTCCAGGGTTTAGGATGAAGGAGATTCTCCCCAGTCTGCCTCTCCTCCTCCTTCCTACAGTCAGGGCAGGTCCCATTATTCTGGCCTGGAGGTGAGCAACCATGTGCGCGCACCAGACGACAAATGAATCTATAAATATTTATTCAAAGGAAGAGGAGAACAGACGTTCGTGAGGCTGCACTTGCTGCGTATGTCGCAGCTCGAGGGAGCCTGCAACTCGTCTTCCCTTCCTGGCTTTGCCTCTCTCCATCTCACCCCTTGTGCCTCCGTCCCACTTCACCCCCTGCCTCTGCCCACTTCATCATCCCCTGTGGCTCTGCGCCATCCAACGGCTCTCTCTCTCCTCCACCTGTATCTGTGGGGTCCTCTCGCAGATCACGTCTCCCCTTAATCCCCATCATGTTGCTCCCATGTCTGCTCCACCAACTATTTTGCCCTGCTCCACTCACACTTTCTGCCAGGCTTTTCTCCTTCCCCCGGTTCCCAGGAACCCTGTTATTCTGAAGGTGGGGATTGTGTCCTGGATTTTATGGCCCAGCACTGGGGCACAGTCTGAACCGCTGTAACTGCACTCAGCACCTCACAAAACCCACTCCAGCAGTTCTGTCAGAAACCCTTGAGCTCAGATGTGCTGTCAGGGACCAGGGAGGGGCACTCTTTCAAATGCCGTGCCTACACACTGTGACATTCCATGTGGCAGTGGTCAGAGCAAGGGACTGGGAGTCAGAACTTCTGGGCTCCATTGTCAGCCGGAGAGGGTGGGGTGGGCTATGTGGTCTAATGGTCAGCACAGGTGGCTGGGAATCAGGACTCCTGGGTTCTATTGCCAGCTCTGTAGCTGACTCACTATGTGAGCCTGTGCAAGTCACTTTGCCTCTTTGTGCCTCTGTTTCACTCTCTGTAACATGATGGGCTTCAATTGCCGCTCAACAGCCCTGGAGGAAGGGCCCTTTATAAGCACAACTGCTTCCCCCTCTGCCCAGGCTGGGTCAAGGGTGCAGGAGAGAGCGCACTCCCTAACTCATTGGCTTGTACAGGGATGGACGCCTTAGGTGACCTTCAACCCACTGATGCCGGACTCTCTGCGCTTCCTTCATGCAGGCAGAGGGGGCGGAACTGAGCTGCTGAGCAAGGGATCCTCACCGGTCTCCTCTGCACAAGGGGTGGGTAGGTGGGTGGATTTTGGGAGCTAAGCAGTCTCTCCCCTCCCCCCCACACCCCACATCACCCTGCGTCTCCATTGCACTGTTTAAAGATTCCTGGCTAAGTAAACATCCCCCTTTATTTTCTTCTCCCAAACAGAAATGTTTTGATTTCACATCAATCTGAGGAAGCCATTTATAACCCGAGCCTGTCACAGGGACTTTTCATCTCTGCCCAGGACAAACTCTCCCACATGCTCTATTTACACTGAGCACTTCCTCTGAAAACAATACTGCGGCGAGTGTACACCGCGGCCCCGGGGTGGAGGAGACGCGGCCACCCCCTGCTCTGCCCTGAGACCTCCTACAGCACAAAGGGGAACCGGCCTGAAGAACAAGGGGTGCAAATGGAGCCTAGGGCCCCAGGGGAGGGGTGTGGAACCTCCCTCTCAAGTTCACGGACACCCCCCAACAAGACTCTCCATTATCCCCATCCTGCTGCCGTTGCACCCAA